TCTTAAGATTGTACTTAAGATGGTCTTAAATATAAGAACCGACTATACGGAGAAAATTTTATATTATATATATAGTTTATTAACTTTAGCATATAATAGCCAGAAAGTGGAGAAAATTTTATATTAAATAAATGTCGTACTAGCTGCGGACCATCGAGGAATTATAAGTTAAAATACTATGTTTATGGTCGAAATTACGTTATTTAATTGTTTTTAAAACAATGATTATAGTATTTTAACTTATAATTCCTCGATGGCCCGCAACTAGTGCGACACCATAGTAATATTTAATATAAAATTTTCTCCGTGATATGAATACCGGCTACAGAGTCGTATTAGCATCTTAAGATATTACTTAAGACGGTCTTGATATAAGATCCGACTATGAATACCGGCCCAAGACCCGTTTTAAATATAAAAGTACATGTAAAATGATTCTCTTACAATTAGCTTTTTTGTTTAAAAATGTTTCTAACAAAAATGTAGACTAAAATATATGCAATCGAGCATGAAAGCGTTCGAAACTTAAAGTTGTTGAAAAAAAAAAATAGCGTTTTATATTTCGGCTCGTATTTTGCGAATTTGAATTTATAGACTGATCGCCTTTCATCCGGTGCCTGTCACGTATCGCGGTGCATCGTCCTGTCGTTCCGGTTTCTCGTTTTCACGCGAGCCGGCGCGTACGGGAAACCGGATAGCAATATGGTGCCGTCGTTCACCTCTGCCGAGTACGGCGGCGGACGAGCGAGCGAGCGAGCGAGCAAACCGAACCCGGGTTCTCGGGTCCGTTGACTTTGCACCTGACTGTTCCTACCGACTTCCCACACGCGAACACGGTCGATGAGTCACCTAGCTTCTTTTCTTCCTCCCTCCGTCCTCGTCGCCGTCCTTTTTCTTTCAACCTCCTCGGACCCTCCCTGTCCTCCTCTTCATCGTCCTTTTTTTCCCTTCCATTCCTGCTTGGTATTCAACGTCGGTTTCGCAATGGGGAAGGGGAGATGTATTTCATGCTCCGACAGGTAGGAGAAACCGCGGCACCGCTCCTTCTTGGGACGCGCGAAGAATGAAAATCTCTGCCTCTACATCAAAAGATGCTCCTTCGCGTGACGGGGAGGGGGGAAAGAGGTAGGGGGATTTGATTTGACGTGCGTTCATACGAAATTGTCCGTGTAGAGTTCTGTCTGGTTCCCCATTGAGAGTCCCCGTTACGGTGTCCGGTTACGTTATGTCGGTAAACTCGGTTCAGAGTTATATATAATTTCTACGTTGGGGGAGAACTTGTTGACTCGGCGTGTTAAGTAATGAATGTAAAAATGTTCAATGAAATAGGACTCTCGGGGAAGACGTTTTTTTTTTTTCATACTCGAGATACTCGAGAGATTTGTAAGAGAACGATGGATGAAGATTATTCCAAATTTCCACGCTTATATTTAGCGTTAGGATATTTCAATTTGTCATCTTTTAAAATTGCGCTGTAATTAAACCTGTCATAATTAAACCATTCAAATCTGAATTGCAGCGTGCTATAGAATAGCATACATTTTAGCTATATGTATATTAAAAACGCACGTTAATTTTTCAAGTATTAATATGACAACACGTGTCTAAACATGTCAATTTATTATTTAAATGTCTAATACAATAAAATTTATCTGTTATATCGTTGACAATCAGTATAATTCTGAACAATTAAATATCTCAATTTGGAGTACTCTTTGCTTGCGAATCTTATCCATCGCCATCGTGGCTAAGTTTTCGCGGATCGATCCACGCAAACTCGTCGTCCCAGGTCTGGGTTTGCTACTCTTTTCAATTTGGAACGGGGTCATCTCGCGTTTACGGTTGGGATAAGGCATAATCGCATTCTCACGTGCTACACGTAAGCATCGTAGGTCGGAATTGTTTGTGCTACGAGTTGCTATCGCGACCGACTTCGTCGGCCTTACGCAGGCGCGCAGAGAACTTACACTTTTTGAGAGGTAGATCATTGATTCGAATAAGAAGAAATGGAGAACGAATTAAAGACAAATGTGCTAAAGGATGTTAGTAATAGACAGATCAATCGCGCATAAACTAAATCAATTTTATGAAATTGATGTGGTTTTCTTCAAAATAGACTTGGAAGAAATTAGACATAGAGGAAGTACATGCTTCGAGGAGTGGACTTAAAAATAGATGCTTACTTCACAAATCAATAAAATCAATTTGGTAAAAATTTACGCATATATTGATATTTTTAATTATAAATATATTTTTATTTTTATTATTGTTCATTCTTTTCTATTTTAGACCTATTCTATATTAGAACAAACTTTATTAATAAAGATTGCAATATGTATTAACATTATATTACTATTATTAAAAGAATACTGGCAATTAATAGTGGCAATGTGATTTATGCACTTGACTGTTGTTCTTAAAACTGTAATTCAACTTTTATTACATGTGAGCAATAGCGTCGAGTTTCCCTCTTGCATATCTGGTGGTACATAGTAGTACAACAATTATAGTTGGAGAAATCTTCGAGTTTTGTAGCGTCGCTAATAGCTAATTTTCGTAACGCTTTCTAAATAAATTTCTGATAAACTTGATAAAGAAGTATTTTAATGAAATATATTTAATGCTGAAACTTCTCGAGCACACTTTAGGAAAGTTTACTCGATAAACATGTTACGAGTGTGCGAAATGCTGAATTAATTATTGGTCGTTTCCTCTGATTTCAGTTTATCTTCATGATCAACGCTATGTCCAACGCATGGATCAATCAAGACAGTACGATGATCTCAGAGGTGAGTGGGTACAAATGCGAATAGAATATGCACATAATTTTGCCGCGAAGTACCGCACGCCTCGAGAGAAGTCAGACGAGTCGGAGATTTCAACGACGCAAATCTCGCACAGGCGTCAGCCGGCTCGTAATTCTTGCGCGACTGCCGCTCGATGCACGGTCGCAAAGACCAGTATTCATACAATAATTTACCTTTGCCAATCTCGCAGTTATTTTTATTACCAAAGCATGTATTTTTAGATACATTTATAATCGAGGTATAGTTACGTTATAAATACTTTTGTTAAGAAACTTTTTAAGAACACTTGGGAAACTTTGATATTTAAATTTTAATATTTTAATGCCATCTTATATATGCCTATTGCCTTATATAATTTGCGATTAGAGGAAAGTGATCGTAAACATTTTGTAACATACTATTCGTTTTAATGTTTCGTATTAACGTTGAGTCTTCCTTTCTAATACACAAGAGAACATATACTTTACTTTAGAACATAACTGGCAACTTTCACTTTCGAGGTTTCAACGAGAACGGATGTTAGATATACTTACGCGTATCTTTTTTGAAATAGAAGCAATATATGTTATACAGAGCACAAAAGAGATTATATTGATAATTAGTTCCTAGTTTCTTTTAAATCACTTACGTTCGATCTATTGCGTGAAATTAAATTGCACGGAGATTCCTAATGGTTACATATTATATGGAAAATAATATTTATCTACGTATAATGTACATTGTTAATATTTCTTATAATATTTTTTATAACAATTTCAATATAAGAATTGGTTTCGAAAATGAATTAGCTATACTACAGGTAATCATTTCGACTTCTTACATAATTCTTATATTAGTCGTTAAAATCTATTCTTCTATTGTAGAAGAGGTCGAGAAACTGAAGTATAGGTTTGTGATCACGACGACACTGACCTGTTTCTCATTGTTCGGAATGCTGTACCTGCTGGGAAGGACCTTAATACGGTGGAAAAGGATTCAGCATTCTTTGCAAACTGTATTCAGAAGGAATATAAAATTGAAGGTAAGGACCCACAAGAATAGACCTTTTTAAAAAGCATCTCTGTTCATTCATATTGAGACAGATTTCTTAAATATCAGACTTAAACGAGGTACAGAGATAAAATATTGCAAATTAACAAATAAAATTTAATGTAGTTTCTGGGGGGGAATTCACAACCCAAAATTTTGTACACCAATGCCGATTTTTGGCATTGCTGTAAAACACTGCCGACATTTTCGTACACTGCCGACAATGCTTAGTCAATACCTACAATGCCGTCAATCCTATATATAAATAATATAAAATTAAGGCAATGCCATGCAATTATGAACACTGTCGCGTACTGCCCATTATTATACGTCAATGCCACCTCTATCAAGTTAACCCCCCCACTATTGCAAAAAAATCCGCACTTATTAAAAAATTTAGTGCTATTTATGTGCTGTTGCTCTAGTCCGGATTTTGTTGCTCAAGCCGTTTAGCAGGAAACGGCGATCGAAATGGGGGGGGGGGCAGCTTGTCGTCATAATAAAAAACCTATATAGAGTGCTCAAATCCAAAAAACAAATACACCAGAATTTGTTGCTTTTTTGTTGCTCCAAGATAGCGTGAAAACATTTTTGAAATATAACGTTTTTTTAGAAAATACGGTAGGGGAGACCGGGGCTAACTCGACACCGGGGCAAACTTGACACTAGGCTTTTTGGCAATTTAAATCTATCGTAGAAACTTGCCTTTCCTATTGTAAATGCGTCTTTATGTGCCAGTATTATCAACGGAATTTGGTAACATTCTGAGTTATAGTGTAATTTTTAACGCGACATAAGCGTTTTTGATAGTGAAAAGTAATTTTTTTGATCTCTCGAAAATGGTCTACTCTTTCATCGAGCTTTCGGGCAAAACTAAGCGACGTACAGCAAAATTTTCTTAAGCAATTTTGTACCTGAAGGAACGCTCTTTAAATGTGTACCATTAAATTTGTTTGAAAATTTTAATTAATTGTTGAAAATTGCCTTTAAAAAAATTGTGTCGAGTTAGCCCCGGTCTCCCCTACGTAAGTATATCCGAATACTTAACAGACAGCACTATATTGACTACATCTTAAACAACATTATATTTCCAAAATATTTTTACACTATCTTAAAGCAACAAAATAGTAACAAATTCTGGTATAAACATTTATTCGATTTGAGCACTTTATATATTTTTTTTCGCATGGTGAGGGGTCAGCTTGACACAGAGATTCTAGCCCCACCACATACTAAAAAACACATATAGAGTGCTCAAATTTAAAAAAACAATACACCAAAATTTGTTGCTTTAAGATAGCGTAAACAAATTTTCAAAATATAAGGTTCTATAAACAATGCCACTAATAAATACTGCATCTTCGACCTTTATCTACAACTTCGATGGCTAAAAACTAAGTAAAAGAATTTGTTGCTTGGCTCTTTTTGGTTTTAAAGTATTCTATGGACCGTGCCCTATTAGAATATGCAACTTACGATTTTGTTGCTCGCCCCTAACTGCAAGTAAACAAATTATTTATCTCCGCGTCGACCGTTATCTGCGACTTTGATGGCTAAAAACTAAGTAAAGGAATCTGTTGATCGGCTCTTTTTGGTCTTAAAACTATAAAGTAAAAGAATCTTTTACTTATTGTTAGTTTTTAGCCATCACAGTCGTAGATAACGAGATAACGGCCGACGCGGAAATAAATAATTTGTTTATTTGCAGTTAGGGGCGAGCAACAAAATCGTAAGTTGCATATTCTGATAGGGCACGGTCCATAGAATATTTTAAGACAAAAAAGAGCTAAGCAACAAGTTCTTTTACTTAGTTTTTAGCCATCGAAGTTGTAGATAACGGTCGACGCGGAGATAAATAATTTGTTTATTTGCAGTTAGGGGTGAGCAACAAAATCGTAAGTTGCATATTCTGGTAGGGCACGTTCCATAGAATATTTAAATAACAAAAAGACCCGAGCAACAAATTCCTTTACTTAGTTTTTAGCCATCGAAGTCATAGATAACGATCGACGAGGAGATAAATAATTTGTTTATTTGCAGTTAGGGGCGAGCAACAAAATCGTAAGTTGCATATTTTGATAGGGCACGGTCCATAGAATATTTTAAGACCAAAAAGAGCTGAGCAACAAGTTTTTTTACTTAGTTTTTAGCCATCAAAGTCGTAGATAACGGTCGAAGATGCAGTATTTATTAGTGGCATTGTTTACAGAACCTTATATTTCAAAAACTTGTTTACGCTATCTTAAAGCAACAAAAAAGCAACAAATTTTGGTGTATTGTTTTTTTTTTTTATTTGAGCACTCTATGAGTTTTTTAGTATGTGGTGGGGCTAGAATCTGTGTCAAGCTGGCCTCCCATGCAAAAAAAAAATATATAGAGTGCTCAAATCGAATAAACGTTTATACCAGAATTTGTTGCTATTTTGTTGCTTTAAGATAGCGTAAAAACATTTTGGAAATATAACGTTGTTTAAGATGTAGTCAACATAGTGCTATCTATTAGGTATTCGGATATATGTATTTTCTAAAAAAACGTAGGGGGCGTCCACTGCCGTACTGCCGAGTCAATGCCGGATAAAATTCGGACACTGCCTTAGCAATGCTATGCAATACCTCCTGCACTGCCACTGCCACACGTCATTATTACCACTCCCCAACCATTGACGACAATGCCGTCAATATTATAGGCCACTGCTTACTTTTTTCAGTCCACTGCCGAAATTTTGTACACCAATGCCGGCTGTGAATTTCCCCCCAGTAGTTTCCTATAAATTCTCATACTTTCTGATTTTAATTTTGTAAAGCCGTAAATAATCATTCCGATAAAATTGACTTCTTGCGTGATGTTTGCGAGGCAGTTGCAAGCACTTTGAGGCCTTAATTTCGTTGTTGCTTCAACAGGCCAATAAGAACAAAGTGCAAGACGACGTCGAGGCCGCTGTGAATAAGCAAAATGGTCTCAAGTTGACCATACCGAGCATAAGTGGCACGGTGGAGCAAGAAACCAAGATCGAGAATAATAACAGTAGTAGCAATAGTAATAGTAACGGGATTAATACCACACCAAACACCACGAGCACTCCTCTTTCACGACGACATGCTAGCGAAGATACCACCCTCGACTATGCTTACGATAACCCGGCGATGACACCGAGCCCAGATGCCGCGCAGCTTAAGACAAAGGCTCGCGAGAGTTCGTTTTAAGATTTCAAATTATGGATATTTAACGTCGATAAGAATATGAGCAGGACTATTTTCGACTTTACTCGAAACATTTTGAAGTACTTAAGATTAAAAGAGAGGAGCATTGAGAGATAAATTTTTACTTGTTCTAAAAACGAGTTTTGAAGTTCTGGTTAGTAGTTCTGAGTAGAAGTTCTGAGGTAAGTGAGAACACTTTTGTGGCGATAATTGCTTTTGTAAAAAAATATATATATTTACTGAAAGAACAGAATGTTGAGGAAAAGATTGCTATATTGAAATCGAGGACAATTCTGGCTTAAGTGGACAGGAAAATGAAAAGAGGATGTGACGAAGCGTATTATGCGTAAAATGTGACGTGGCTACTTTGTCTTGTCCTACGAATACATATTGAGATATTCTATAAGATTTTTCACGTTTTTACAAACGGTTTTTCGAGCTACGTTGTTAATGGATATTGGAACATACGTAGCAACGCGATCGAATGAGAGATCGCTCGATATACCGCCACTTTGTCTTTCTTGAATGCTCGCGCAATTTTTAACGTACGTTAAACAGTGATATTCATAGTCGATAGTTCCATGAATGACCACAGCCTCACAGAGAATAATCGTGTTTCTACATAATTATTTTACTTCTCGATAATCCCTGAATCATTAAACGCCGTCATGAAACAAGTGATTTGCTGTTAATGACATTTTCGATGACTTGGGGAAATGACACATGCTCATTTCCAACTATGAATTAATTGCATTTTGAAGGAATAATATTTGAAAAATAACGTTGCTCCTACGTCGAGACTATATATAAATGTCGAGACTCTAAAACCTAATAGATTACTTGTACAGCTATTGCTATGATTATAGTATCGTAAGTTTTTGGAGTGACTCGTGAATGCGTGTCACGCCTCCGCGAACCGTGCGGCTGTGTGACTTAATTAAATAATTATTGACGCGATATGCTCGCGGGATATAGACGCGCGCGGTGTAATTGTCGACTTTATCCTCCCGATCTTAAACTGCTGGCGAAATGCGAAACATTTCGCTTCCACGAAATTGATATACTAATTCCAACACTTTTGTCAGAAGATAGGCTGTATAAGTGTCCTTAAAGTTACGCTTTCGCTGGTTCTTCAAATAAACTAAGATCTTTTACAGTTATTTATTCATTGTTAAAGATTCTGTGCATCAGTATTAACTGTGATGAAAAAAAAATTAATGCCACATGTACAGATTAAATTAATGAATCAAATAATAAATAAATTCAATATTTCCTAGTAATTAAATCTCTTATTTACAAAAAGGTTCTCTTGCAAATTTTTCTTTGGCACTTACTGATTTTCTAGATCTCAAATCTTTTTGTTTTATTGTTAGCAAGCAATAAAACATCAAAGAATATGTGCGAAATCTTTCCACGTATTTTTACGATTACTTTTTAGTATTTTACAATCATTAAAATGATATCAATGGCCTGAATTAAAGATCGGTGCGTAAATTTCTGTTGCAAATTATGCACAATGCGTGTCTATATAGGATTTTAGTAATAAATATATAATAATTAACTTAAGAAATCGCATCCTTATCAGCCATTCCGTCCATGAAAGGCCTTTCGAGCAAACGTGCGCGTATAAGACGGCGCACTTTGCATAGGTCAGTGACGTTGCATGCGAGAACGAAGGGAAATCGATAACAATTTTATCGCGAACCGTGGCGAGCCAAGGCACAATGTACTACGTTGCGAAATTCCACAGCAATGTAAATTTAAATGATATTAATGGGATTATAGTCTGTAAATGTAATTTAACAGCCATTAATTCTGATAAAAAATAAAAAAAATGTCCAATTAAATTGGTTGACTTTAAAGTTCGAGAGAATTAAAAGAATATCGAAAGACACTACTCTTGGAAATGGATTTGCATTGATATTTGCAATTTGCTCAAAACAAATGCGCTCAACAATTACTTGCTCCCAAGGAATATTCTATATTTATTGATTGGGAGGAAGTGCTCGATTAATGCTCAATTTTAATGAGTAAACATTTGCTCAACTTTGTAAATTGTCAATAATGATTAACGACTCTTTAAATTAATGACTTTAATATGAATTAACATATAAATTAATTTATAAAAAAAAGCAGTTTCAAGTTTACTATATATATTTCTAAAAATCTCTTCTAAAAAATGATGACAAGTGACATATGCCGGGTTGAAACTTTTTAATTATATTGATAAAATTTAAAATTTTAAATACTCATCGAATAATCTTATAGCCGAAGCTCAGGAAATTAAAAAAAAAAAAAAAAAACAGGCAACTATTTCGGTAATTAAATTAAACGAAAGGATTTACATTTATAGTTAATACAAAATACTTCGCCTTCTCGCAGCAACCGCTCTGACCTTAGATTTAATCATTTATACACGATTCACCATTCTTAGCGATTATAGCGAAATAGCTACACACTACAGCGCACTTTTCATTTCATTACATGATCCCCTTCGAGGGTGGATCAACGTCTTCCAGAAACGAAGATATTAACTTTGCCCAGAGGCAGCTCGTAGCATTAAATTCTCGAGTTGAACTGTATATAAATATAGCGAATAGTCTACTCTTACTTAGCAGTCCCTGTTTGCTGATACGTTCAAATAAAACGATGCGACGCAAAGAAACTTTTGCGAATGTAAACAAGTTTGAAAGGTGGAAGAATTAAACGGCTTGAGATCTTACACACAAGCAAGATTTTCTCAACTTTCCTTCTAACGTACTTAAGTAAATTGTATATAATTTTAATATTAATTGTATATAATTTAATGTTTTATTAATTATTTTAGTAATCGATTATTCTTTTAATTAAGAGGTTCAGTATCACGAATAATATGGTGGTGACATTACTTAGGCAGTTGATTTCATGATCAAAATCTATCGCTTATAATCTTCTCAATCTTTCAGCTTCAGAAAATGTTATAAACACATAGCTCATTATTATCTTAATTTTAACATACTTGGACAACCTTTCACGCGTGATAATAATATAGAATATATTACGATGTTACTCTTAGACGGATGTGTTGGTGTATGTGAATTATTCTGAATCTGTTAGTGTGTTCCTTATTGATTATATTATCGTACTTATTCTTATATTGTTATATAAATATCCATGTGACTTAAAGCGTGCCTTTTTCAACGCGATTTAAGATGAATGCAATTGAAACAATAGATATTAATACGGCGTGCCTTTTCGACGAATTTTTTCGATGTTGAAATATATATTTGTGATATAGAAATTTATTTGTGTAATATAGATATAATAAAGAGACGATGTCTCTCATATATATACGTACATATACACATGTATACGTATATGTATATGTATATATGTCGTGCATGTTCTATATATATGTATCATATATAAAGTATTAACTTCAGTAAATCTCAAATTAATGACGATAAAAATTTTAAGATTATCACCAAAAAATAAAAAATAAATTTTATTTAAAGATATATTAAATATTTTGAATATATATCTATATTTTCAATTTTTTTTATTAATATTTTATTTTTATAAAAATAATAATTATATCATTTTAAATATTACATGAAAACATTTGCTGGAGTTATATTTTACATATGTACATCGGAGGTGCTGATTTCTGAGAAAGATATTGTTATAAGCATCAGCAGATAGTTTAAATATAATAATTTAATTCATTGATTGATCCACTACGTTCATCACAATAAAATGTAAAAAAGGAGTTTCAATGCGCGATTTGATTTTATCGCGATATTAAGCAATCGTTAAAATGATGATTTTACGAAATTTGTATAACGTTATAATATTTCTAAGATATTTGTAAAGTGCGGCATGGATTTGTCATGAGTGTCAGTCGTTATAAGAAATCGACATGATATACATTCCATTGTACATTTTTTTCGAAATACACACCCGTTACCGAAGTATATTTGTATCCTGAATGGATACCAAATTTTGCTGTTGTTACCGTGTCGCTTTTAAAAATAATAAAAAGAGCGAACGTTTTTTTACTATATGTACTTGTAGTTACGCTGCAATTTTTCGTGAACGTTTAATGTTACTTGGCTCTAATAAGCTCAAAGAAATGCGACAAAATGTTTCTGTCAAGCAGCGGCAACTTTGTTTTTTTTTTTTTATAAATAAAAATATAGATATACCGATAAATATACACAAAAATTTATTTCCCCTTCTCAGCACTCCTACAGTACCTTTTTATTTCACTCGTAGTGGAATGACTTGTGGAATCACTTGTACACTTTGTAGTGGAAAATACATAGTTTTCCAAATATGTCATTTTTATATAACTGTTTGCATACAAAATCTCCTAATGGACAGTCCGATCAGCTGCGAATGAATAGATTAACAGTATAACAGTACTTTTTTCTACCTTGTTTATCGTAATAAATATCTATTCGGCATCAATTTTATGAAATATTTTGTGTATACGCCAAACACCAAAAGAGGAAATGATATCTAAATCCTATAGTTATGTAGATCATATAATGGACATTAGTCTCATACATTACTATGAAAAATAAGACTCACTTTGTCCGAACTAATTCGCTAATCCAAAAGATTTACTTCTTCTTTTAGTGATAAAAAAGTTGAGAACCGAAAGGATCGGACAAAAATGCGTATGAAAAGAGAGAGATTGAGACTGGAACAAAGGTGATCTACGAAAATTAGCCGTTTCATATATTCATACAAGTACCATCACGGAAGGCGGTGGTCGAGAGCAATATAGAGCAACGGAGCGACGGAGAAACCGCAATTATTCAATCGTGACCCGTGGAGCTGCGTTTAACGTGTCGCTCTTTCACCGTCACAGACGTTTCGTAGAGCGCGCAGAAGAAACGGCACATCCGTAATCTCGTCGCCGCATCATCGCGCAATCTCGAAATCACGGTAATCGCGCGAAATCAAGGGAATTAAAACGACGGACATTATAAAAATATCGAATTTGACTTCAGTCATTCTCATCGTGACTTTTCTGCTTAATTTTTCGCGTTTCCGTGTGATTTTGAAAAATTTGACAAGTACATCTGTGATACGTGATTTTCTAATTTTATAGAGCACAAGTAGATTTATAAGAGTGTGAGAGTATAGAGTTTCGTGAATTTATGTGCATCCGTAAAACTACGATGATGCGAATATATTTGGAATAAATATCATTTATAATGTATTTTTACAGTTAAATCTAACTCGTCTTGCGGACAGATTGATTTTTACGTAAGTTTACGTTTCGCGGTTTTACAATCTTTAAAATGTCGAAACTGTGTTAAATACTGGTCGTACTAGACGTTCGCTAAATTTCTGTGGAATGTTGGAAAACTCGCACGCGACGGGAAGTAATTGCGACCTAATCTTTTGTGTTAATTTGCGAATTTGTATAAGTCCGCTCAGTATCGACTTACAGCTCAGTACGAGCTACAAACACTATTGCTCAGTACCGAAAAACAGCTGTAATGTCCACGATGGTATCGAAATACAAAATTTATCGGATGTGAATATCTAATTGGGACAATTTTTGCTCGACAAAAGAAATTCGAGGCGCAATGGATACGACGAATACTCGGCGAACGTTCGACTTGGTCGATTCCATCGTGTTCATTGGGATGCTGGGCGTCTCTGCCCTTGTAGGCGTCTATCAGTGGTACGCGTCCAGGAAGAAGGTGGACGCCGTGGGAGAGTACCTTGTAGGCGGCCAAAAGATGTCTATATTTCCGATAAGCATGTCACTGATAGCAAGGTAAAGATTTATTTATTCCTCTCTGCCAAGAGTTTCAGATTAACTTTTCTATCATAGAATCGAAAAAACGCATAATTAGAAATGTTTCCTAAGATTCTAAAATATGTCTTTAAAATATGTGCTTTAGAATGTATGAAATATACATACGAAAATATGGAAATTTATCAATTATATTCTCATATTCTTTTACATAAGTTTATTGGATACGAAAATATGAATATTGTTCGAGAAATTGTTCCGTGAACCGGAAATGTACAGGGCATGTTAGGTGCCTAAGTTGCCTCAATTGGCCGTCAAGGCTCTCTGGTTAAGGTTGTAATTATCAATAATCTTAGGTCCACGTGTCGAGATAACTAGGATAAGAAAATTCGTTCTAAGCACCCCATATTAGTCATAAACCGTTAACGTTTTACTGACGTCAACTGCTATCTGCAAATTGCTTTACTTCCAATTTAAGCATACAGTCCTTTGTAAAATGGTGAAATTGCATTTTTGAATTAAAATAATATAATAATCTTCGTTCTTACAACTAATACATGTATATATTATAAAATTTGTATAATAGATTTATATATTAGACAACTATTATACAACTTATTTAAATCATAGATAATAAAATGCAATTTTGAAATAAGACAAAATTTGTTTTCGTCGTTTCTGGATATTTATTTTTAATTCCCAACTCTTTTTACGTTCGCGATTGACGATATTAAATTCAGTGGCCGTCAATTTGGCAGAAATGAATTGGGAATTAGTGACGTTTAAATTTGCATTGTCTAAATCTCTAAATGCTGCATGATTAAGAGTAATTCTAAGAACGGCTCTTTGAAATTGCAGCTACATATCGGGTATAGCAATGTTGGGATTGCCGGCCGAAATGTACGTTTACGGCACGCAATTATGGTGCGTCGTGATCGCGGATACTTTTGTATCCGTGACGATGGCGATCGTGTACCTGCCAGTTTTCTACGGGCTCCGAATTACGTCATCTTACGAGGTACATAAATGATTTCACATGATGAATCTTGATAATTAGCAATTCGTTTTTTACAGTATCTGGAGTTAAGATTCAACCGAGTGGTCAGACTCATGGGATCTTTTATCTTTATTATCAAGATGGTGAGTTTGTCTCTATTAAATAAGTAAATAAAGTTGGAGAAACTTTTTCGACTCTTAAAAATTCCCTCATATTTTTAAATCAAGCTTGCGTGTTCAGAATTTATTTCCTTGTTTTTGAACGTCAAAGTTCTTGCCAATTTCTTCTTAAAATCGTTACCGAGTTTTCTTAGGCGGTATTCGGCACGCAATGTATCTTTATCACATTGAGAATTCCTCGAAGCGTTGAACTTGGTATTCGTCGATCTCGTGAGCAATTCAACACGCCGAGTAATCTTGTGCTTGCAGCTGCTTTACATACCGCTAGTGATATACGTGCCGGCGCTAGCCTTCAATCAAGCGACCGGAGTAGACCTCTACACGATCGCGTTGCTAGTCTGTGCTGTGTGCATCTTCTACACGACACTGGTAAGAACATCGCTCGTAGAAAATTATAATTTCTTGCAAAGAGATATTTCGAATTTCTTTAGCTTGAACGTAATACAATCTGATTCCGGAGACTAATTTTATTTATTTTATAAGAGAAGGCCATGCAATTGTCGATAAAAATGAAGACGACTATCTTCAACGCTAAATGCAAGATAAAAAAATACTTAGTACGCAACAAGCGTCAATAACATAATACAGCATGTTACAATATTCAAAATAATTAATTATAGTGCTAAAATATGTATGATTTTACATTCCAGGGTGGCTTGAAAGCAGTCGTCTGGACGGACACTATTCAGACGATGTTGATGTTCGGTGCCGTCATCGCCGTTGCCGTACTCGGCACCGCTAGAGTCGGCAGCGTGGCGGAAGTGTGGAAAAGGAATGCCGATTCCGGGAGAATTGAGTTCTTCAAGTACTAGCAGCAATTTCTTCGTATTCTTTTGTACATTTTTATTATACTTAATTTAACTTATCATATACTCGTTAACATATACATAATCTATTTCTATTATAATCGCGCAACCCGCGCAACGCTCAGTCATAATTTTACCGATCTATCAAGTTATAAATGAATATAATAAATGATATTCCATCTTCTTCCTGCTTTAATCAGCATGGATCTGGATCCTACGATAAGGCACACTTTCTGGGGCGTGGTGGTTGGCAATTATTTAAATTGGCTGGCCACGTGCTCGGTGAACCAAGCGATGGTGCAGCGATGCCTGGCGATGCCGAACTTGAGGAAGTCGAATGTGTGAGTCCGAGAAATGCATTACAATGCACGGCGCATATCACTCATTTAATCCCCTTTTGTATCTAGGGCGATTATGATAATGGCCATAGGCATAAGCAGCATTGTCTCGTTATGTTGCTACATGGGAATCGTCATTTACGCGGCCTTTTATGACTGCGATCCGGTCTCGACAAAGGTAAAATAATCTTGGCGTGAAGCAATTCATGAAACTACCAAATAGTGTCCCAAAATTTTCGACTTTAATTAATCTTATTAATCAATTTCGAAGACAATAATATGATCGGATAGTTATACGCGGAATCTTTATAGATTGAACGTCTCGGAAAATGTTAATAAAAATTGCGTTTTTTAGCAAATACGAAAGCCCGATCAGCTGTTACCATATTTCGTGATGGAATTGTCAGAGGCGATACCAGGCTTACCAGGATTATTCATTTCCGGTGTATTCAGTGCGGCATTGAGGTACTATGGAATTTAGACGCTCTAAATGATTTTTTTAATTGAAATAGGATCAATAGGTATCACTTTCTTTGCAAATGCAAATGCCTTGCCAAATTTTAAATCGTTGAATGCTATATCGAAATGAAAGAGGATGTTGTTATATAATATAACGCTGTAATATCGCTCATTTGTTCATCTTCCCTTTTTGCGTGTAAAACGCCCGCTCGTTGACCTTTAGCACAATGTCGACCGGATTGAATTCCATGTCGGGCGTAATCTACGAAGACATGATCAAGCCGTGTCTCCGTAAGCCGATCTCCAACGTCGGCGCGAGTCGCATAATGAAAGTCACGGTTGTGATAATAGGAGCTATTTGCGTGGGCCTCGTATTTATGGTGGAGAAACTGAGCGGTCTAATTCAGGTAAGATGCAAACGCGTAATCGCACGCCAACGTTCGTAACCCGGAAATGTCGGATCACTTATGAATTAATTCCGCGATTAATCTACGCAATCATCGAGAACGTGGTTGATCTTTTCAGGCTGGTAAGAGCTTATCGGGAGTAACTGCCGGGCCCTTACTTGGAATGTTCACGTTGGGCATGCTATTTCCAATGGCCAACTCTATGGTAAGAGGATGATCGTAGAGAAACTAATATAGAAAAGTATACATCGTAAACGCTTTCAAATTTATTTTATTGACAGGCTATAGCTTCAACTTTCTTATTCTAGCTTATCTAAACGATATCTGCTAAATCTATAAATTTAAGAAATAACCTACGATTATCTCCTAAATTCTGTTTCGAAGATATGTTTATTTACAAGGACTTAATAATAATATCAGTCAAGATATCCTAGAATTCCCGACGTTAATTTTAATGATAGATTTATCATATATGTATAAGCCAATCTTGAAGTTTATCATTAAAATCAAGCCAGTCCTAAGAAATCTTGCGTTCGCCGAGGAACCAACCTATCTCTATCTTCTTACCCAAACAGGGAGCACTCGTCGGTGCGCTGGTTAGTCTGAACTTAGTCGCTTGGATCTCGTTCGGCACGCAAGCGGCGATTTCCAACGGATCGGTTTATTTCCCGGTGAAACCGGTATCGGTGGATGGATGCACCGAATCGTTGAGAAACACCGCTGGAAACCTCACGATGATCGTCGAGACTGCTGTCAGGTACATTTATTGAATTGCTCTCGCATATAAGAACCGCATAATAACTCCTCCCGTTTTAATTTTTTTACAGGGAACAACCATTCTTCCTATACAGAATGTCGTATCTCTGGTACACGTGGGTGGGTTTTCTAATTACGATTCTAGTGGGCCTATTGGTCTCGTGGTTCACGGGTCCATCTAAGTACAGTTGCATGGACAAGAGATTATTTACACCCGTTATACACTGTTTATTACCGAAAGATCCTCAGAAAGCGGTACGTATAATTCCGCGATCCTCAATCAGAAAAAAATCTTATCACTAATGTACATATGTAATCTTGTTTTTCTTTTTCTTTTTTTTCACAGAATAAGGCTGAACTCGCGAAAATGACGAACGACGTGAACGACATAACGCAAACTTCTTCAAAATGTTAGTCATCATTTCTCTTTTATCTTAATTGCAGTTCAATTGGGCAAAATACATACGATCGTACATGTCAAATTTGTATTCGTGTATTCGATTTAGTCCCGATATCTCATAAAATTATATTATAAACTACTCATAATCGTTTAACGACACAAATAATGCCGTTACATATGTTGTAAATGGTTTAATAGTTTAAACCTCATAGTGCACCGTCATCGGTCAATCACAATACAAGGCGGGACTAACGTCGAATACAAATCGTTACGCGCGCGCAAATTAATCTTATGTAAACCACTATATAAACCCAGGCAGTGATTCAAAGTTGCCGACTTAATTTTATACGCTATACATTATATATATCGCCCACTTAATTACGTTTAATTAGGCCGATGATAATTTACAAAAAGAACAAATATTAGTTCTAATATATTTGCACTTCTATTTGTATACACGTTGAAGAATGACTTTTGCGCAAAAGAATACTGATTCATGGTATAAATTTTTAGGCAATGAATAACACATTTATGTTGTAAAATCTACCAAAATACCCGGCGCCTGAGCGTAAATATAATGATTAATATAAATTAATAGAGTCGATTTATCTCGATAGAATGTAGATAATCACACTTGCTTGTTCTCATATATTACGTATGTCACATATCTCGCTTTAAAATTCCTATACCATAATACCTTGTTCGTACAAAACATTTTTTATTTATATATGTTAAGGCTATTATTCGGTAACCGTAAAGTTCGAGAAAAAGTTCAATGTCTGTTGACATATCGAACCGATTATAATTGGTAGATTTCACCGCAGGAGTTTATACATATTTACAACAATCATAATGTACTTGAATTGCCAATCGGACGACATACTTATTAGTCTTATTACTACATTTCACAGCACAATTCATAATTACATGTAACAATATGCAGATGGCATGGCCGTTTATTATCATGTACCGTTTCGTAAAAAAGGATATAGTGCGACTTACGGATAGAAGGGTTTGAAGTCTATTCTCCTATGCCGAATATCATCAGAAGAGAGGATAATTTAAGATGTAAGTGGCGACATACCAATCGACGTCCTGGGATCTTGTTGACCCTGCTGAGCCGGCGGAACCTGTTGCGGACCGGTCTCCAGATTCTTTAGAAGCAAATTCAACCAATGCTTAGTTGAAGCATCTTCTTGCAAACATGTGGCAAATGTGTTATCTCTCAGTTGATCCGGCAAGCACTGTCTCAAGGCTAACAATGCTCTGCAAAATTAATCGCACATTAAAGTTTTTCGGGATCTTCAAGAACGTATCGCGCATATCTTGATACTTTACCTCGGATTATCGGAGAGTCTTAAATAACACCGTACTACATGTTTGAGCAATCTTGCTGAAGGATCTTTAGCCAAGGATAAAACCATTTTTCCTAATATCATAGCGACATGACTGAATCTATCATAGGTTTGACAGATGTAGGACAGGCCACTGTCGTCTAACAGTATCTTTTGCAATATAAATGTCGCCACGGTTTTACTCAGTTCCGAGCCACTCTCCATAATTCGTAAACAAAGCGGGATGATCTCGGTAGTGAGAAGAAAGGTGATCACTTCTTGCTCGTCGGTTTTGACCAATGCGCCGATCACTCCGAGACTCGTCAAACGAAGATATTCGAAGGGTCGCGTTTTGCTTACGGTATGCAGAAATGGATACAGGAATAATGGAACATGTGCCTGGAATCAAATACATGTGATATATAGATATATAATTTTTAGTTATATGCAGTTTCATTAAATAAGAGTTCTTTGTTCGTACAACAGAGATAAAGGGCCAAATATCATGTATTCGTGTCAATTCTTTTAATTAACGGAGGAAAATTTTAGTATATTTAAAACTGCAAGTCACAGCGTATAGGTACCTGTAGGAATGCAGACCTCGTCTCGGGATGACTGGCCACGCATTGCAGCAGCGCCAGGGCGTTGCATACCCGATTACTCTGATAAGCCGTGAGGGTCGCAGGGTTGATCGCCGGATAGATGTTAATGATCTCCTGCAGGAGGGATGCCGTAGTGCCGAACGAGTGCCACAACATAGGTGCCAGGTCGGGCACTACTTCACGCTTCTTGCTTAACTCTAGGAGAGCATTCTCCCTCGTCTCCGGATTCGACAGCTCGATTATCCACGTGTAGACCTTCTCGCGGTCGACGGTGGATTGCAGGGCGGCCGGGCTCTGCTGAGTACTCATATCGTGACCCCTGGCCGCTGCTTCACGATTCGGGGGGAGGTATTGCGATTTGCACGCCCGTTCGCTGCGTTCACGATCAATTTTCTCGCTTTACGTTCGCTCGTTACGTCGACAAGCCTTGATAACCCAACCTCTTTCTTCCTGGGTAGATCGACAGTCACGTTCACACGTATCGCGTTCGGTGATATGCACTGATTTTCGTAGCGTTTTCGCGTGCCGCGTGCCTCTTATGCGATTAGCCAATCCTCCAGTTCACGATATCTGCCAAACCTGATGAGGCTCGAAATAATCTCGCCGGGATGAAAGCGGATTCGGCAACGATACGTCTTCTGGATACCTCGCCAGTTACATTTCGAATGCGCGCGACATCTGAGCGCCAACATAACCTCCTGTTCTTGTCGCGAGTTCAACCGTTTGCACTATCTGCACGACCTGCACTTTAAACACCACCCAATACACATCTCATCGATACTCGAATTTATCGAATGTTCAACACATTTTTTCTTATTCTTGTTCGATTTTCCATTTATCTCTTCAATCTTCGTTCTCGTATTATTATTATTATGTCATCTCTTCTTTGTTATCTGGTCAATATATTCTCCGTAATCCTTTTTTCCCAATTTTTTTCTTCAATTCTGTGCATCTAAAGCGGGGAACACAGACTTTTTCATAACGCATAATAGGTATGTACGTAATCATAAGAAAACTGATTGGTTTATTTCCTTATGCACATGTGTATGGACCAATCAATTTTCTTATGCTTACGCATTATGCGTTGTGCAGAAGTGTATGCTCCCCCGCTTAACCCAATAGTATTTTATGTAAATATGCGAAAGTAGCAGAAAGCAGGAAAGCAGAAGCCAATCAGGGGATCGATTCTGTATTTTGAGACGAGGTGAAAATTACAAAAGTGAACAAATTTACTAGATTTCGACAAATGAAGTTGTAGATTCTCTAGTGAATTTCCTCACTTTTGTAATTTTCACCTCGTCCCAAGATACAGAATCGACCCCCAGAACTCATGCTGGTAAGCAGAAGGAAGCGTCCCGTTTGACCACAGCGATTGACCACAGCCACTCACAGCCCTCGATGCCTGGAGTTTTCCCCTGAACCAACCAATCAGATATTTTTATTTTAAATCAATTGACGACCGTCGGTCAATTGAGTCCCGCTCATGTACTGTGCATGCATACCGTAGGACGAGGACAGCCACGTAATGTTCTTTCTCTTTTTCTTGCGTTATAATACGGAAGATATTGTGTTTATTGTATAGTTTATAAGCTTCATGTAAATTAGAATACGATTATTTATGTATTTATGTATTTTTTAATTAAAAAATCAAACATTGCGTTTAGCCATAAGTATATATATAGCATTACATATAAACTTGTAAGAAGAAACGTTTTCCAACTATTAAAATATTTTTACATCGTTCAATATTTTGTATGTACATTGCTTTAATTTCTTTGAATTAAGTATCTAAAAGTAACTATTTCAATGTATACAGATAATAAACATAAAAGAGTTTAAGGTGGCAGCGTGGTCTTGTAGTAAAGCGCCAGACACGTAACCGAGGAATCGGGTTTGAGTCCACCTGATCACAGGAATTTTTATATTTCAAGCTGAACCCCCCGCACAAGTGGGACTCGTGCGGAGAAACTGGGCTATCTTTTGGAGGAGACATTAAATTTGAAATTGGTCGTCAAGCTTGGGGAGCTTGGGAGTTTTGGTCAATTCAAATAACAGAATTGCCCGAATCTACATTTGAAATCATTGTCGTTCGGTCTGTTGCGCGGCGTAGTCTAGAAGTTATTGGAATCTCAAGTCATTTCAAGTCGCAATTAAATATGTATCCGATAATTATATCGGATACATTTTGGTAGTTGTTCAAAATCAAGATTTGTTTTAAAGCATTATTATCTGGTGCGATCTTAATTATTGGATATTGTTCTTCAGAATATTTGCTTAACACTAGGTTTCAGGACTTCCTACAAAATTTCAACATATTTTTATACATTCATTTGTGTAGCGATGTTTCTATAATATTCATTAATTCTTAGAATGTCATGCTCTCTCAATATCCTAATGTAAATCTTCCACTATTTTGAGAGCGCAGCACGTATTTTGGATTAAGTTTTGTCCGTCCGGTCACCACACTCTGTATCTTCCATCTTCACTCGAAGAAAATACTTTTTCGTCCAACCATATTACCGTATCCCATTCTTCTTGAGGAGTATTTAAATACCGTAACGCAAATTGCACTCTTCGATTTCGACGATTTTCTGTGAGTGCAATTTTTTTCGCTGGTGGATGCGAATAATAAACTTTAACCGATTTTAAGCCACATTTTACTGTGTTTACCGAAATTATATAATTATATAGATTATTGTTGTTTAAAACTTTTGCTGCAAATTTAAAAGGATTCACATCAACTAACTGGACGATTTCTTCATCTTGACGAGCTGTAGTTTTTCTTGGTCTTGCATTATTTTTTTGTAATCCTTTAGCGCATCGAAACTTTTTTCTTTATATTGTCTTTATATGTTGTTAGATGTCTTTATATTGTTTCCTGCTTCCTATCAAACAGGTCTCAAGTCATAAAGTTTAATAATAGCTTCTCTAGAAGTATAAATGTTGTTTGGAGTGCCGCAGGTCTCACATCTTGGCCCTTTTTTATTTGTTTTATTTATTAATAACATAGCTGCTTTTATTAAATTCTGCTTTTTCTTATTGTATGCTGATGACCTTAAATTATACCGTCGGATTAATGGACCTGCTGATGCACTTTTATTACAACATGACTTATTTGAACTTGAGGCCTGGTGTAGGAGGAACTGTCTTCGGCTTAACGTCTCTAAATGTCTTGTCATTCATTTTTCTCATAGACGTAACTCATAACTATACTCTTGATGGTTTACCTCTCTCAGCAGTGCGCGAAGCTCGAGATCTCGGAGTCTTGTTCAGTGCGGACTTATCATTTCATAAACATATACAATCAATAGTTTCATCTGCTTATAGAACGCTTGGATTCATCCTCCGATGGGGTAGATTTTTTAAGAATATAACCACTTTAAAATTATTATACTGTACGTTAGTTCGCCCCAAGTTGGAGTACTGTTCCATAGTTTGGTCTCTGTATTTTAAATGCCATCAGTTATTGATTGAACGTGTGCAGCACAAATTCCTGCGTATGGCTGCTTATCGGCTAGGTAATTCCATGTAAATTACTTGCCATGACTACTGCACTATATTAGATAGATTAAATCTGCTATCGTTAGAAAATAGAAGACTAACCTTTGATCTTACATTTATTTTTAAGCTTCTCAATCACTCTACTGATTGTCCGGATTTGTTGGAACGTATCTACATCCCGACTAAAGAATTAAGACAGTACTCCATCTTCCACCTCGGGTATCACCGTACTTTGTATAGCGCAAATTCTTGTGTAAATAGGCTAATAATATTTCCAAGTAATTTCTCCAATAGGGTTGACTTTTTTGGTGGCTCTGTATCAACTTTTAAACAAAAACTTTTTCGTCTACTTTTGTAACCTGAATGTTCTCCATATTATGTTGTAAAATTTTAATTTTATTTTATTGTTCTTGTTTTTCTTTTCTCTTTGTACGCTAAAGGGTTTATTACCCGTTAATAAAGTTTATTATTATTATTATTATTATTATTATTATTATTTATATATATAAAGATTATAGTGTAATTTTCAAGAGGAAAAGCACAAACAGCGGACAAATGCTGCCATGCAATATTTATAATAGCTTTCGTGAGTTTATTTCAGAACAGTATAAAAATTTTTTACAACGAACTTTACGGACATTTTTTATTTGCCAAATAAAAAGAAATATCGAGTTTATTCCAACGGCACAACGTGGCACAAATTACTACCTATCAACAAAAAAAAAATTGGGTTTATTTCGGGAAAAGTGCGGGGCTAGTATAATTTTTTTTTTATTTTTTTTTCTTAATTGTTATCGAAGTTATCAATCTCGCGTTTGCGGCACAAGTCAGCACAAATGCAGCACAATACGGCACAATAAAAAAAAACTGAAAATTCGAAAAATGCGGGGCTATCAAAAATTTTGTTTTTTTTTAATTTTCTCGAGTACGCTTTGAGTTACAGAGTTGCGGTTTGCGGCACAATACAGCACAAACGTAGCACAATGTAGCACAATTATTAAAAATACCGAATTCAAAAAGTGCGGGGCCAACTTCACACACGTCTGATTTCATGGATTTTTGTTAAGTATTTTTGTTGCTCGCCGACTCCGGAACTATATCAAAATCCGAGTCATTTTTTGCTAAAATTATATGGAATAAATATGTTCTCGTCAAGATATAAGGTAATATTATTTGTTCACTGTCGTCAAAATCGACAATGTACCACTTAATATTGTCAAATTATATAGTGTCGATCGTGAAGCTATATAGTTACGGTTTTATAGTTACGGTTATAGCTTTTTACAGTTACGGTTAATTTAACGGCATGGCAGTCGTCGAAGTATATATATATATATACGATTGAACGTTATAACTTTCCGGGACATTGTCTCATTTCTAAGATTTCGGGATTATGACATTTCGGCACATTGTCACGTTTCTTAAATTTTGAGATTTTGATTTTTCGGGACATTGCATGTCCACCGAATTATAATAGTTTCTTTCACAAAGTTGGTAATTAAACCTCCCGATAAAAACAGTCACGTCACATCCACGTCGAATCCACGTAATTTCGTCGAATCCACGTACAGTTTTTATCGGGCTATTACTATAATTTAGCCTTTTATTAACCTACTTTTCTAATATAATTTGTACTGTAACTTGTTTATGATAAATACTCTGTTACAAATTATGATCTCATTCAATACTCATATTTTTGAAATGTTTCAAAAGAAATGAATTCAACTGTTTCCATCATCTTGGCAGTTATGCGAATTCCAGGCACACGTAAATAAATTTTAAACCTTAAACATGTACTGTTAACTGTTTGAAAACGCGTGTACATAATATTATAAAAAAACATTTAAAGAGAATTTTTCGGTAAAAGAATCGAAAACTGCGAAGTATGCTGCAAGTCAAGGACGCAAGTAATAATTTCGAAATTAATTGTTATACATTTTACGCATAATCGGTTAGAAAATTTCTGCCCCTACCCCCTAACTCTCTCTCTTTTTTCTTTTTCTATACGTATATACACATTTATGACGGAGTTTAAATTTCATACGTTGACGACCTTCGCGAAACGCGACCCGGTATGTCTCCGGCGCGTCAACAGGCACGCGCGTGGCGCGCGATTCCGCATTCCGTGCTTCAGTATCGCTCGGTCTCTCGTCAGAGCGTGTCGCGGTGCTACTTGTGCGCACTTGCGCGGTGGATAGACACCAATTG